TGAATACCAATGAAGACCAATCACCTCGGAATCAAATGATGACATAATAATTTTTACCGAGGTTCACTTGCTTGCTGGCAAGCTAGTCCTCGTTGTGACGATTCACTCACTTGGAGGTTCATGCGCTAATTGGCATCACACACCAAACCCTCAATAGGATGCCGCACAACCAACATAAGATGAGGATCATACAAGCTATGAGCAATTTACTTGAGTACCTTTTGGCTCTCCATCGGGGAAAGGTCAAGAACCCCTCACAATCACCATGATCGGAGCCAGAGACAATCACCAACCTTCGCTCGATGATCCTCGCTGCTCCAAGCCGTCTAGATGGCGGCAACCACCAAGAGTAACAAGCGAATCCGGTGGCTCGATGCTCGCCATGTGTCATCAGCCTCAAATGCTGAGCGCCTGATCTTAACGGCTAGTCAGCTTCGTGTCACGTGTTAAGTTGTGATCGGACGCACTGTAGTGTAGGACCGGACGCACTGTCGTTCGGCGTTCGGTCACTTCCAGTAAGATTCCAGAGGCGGAAATTCGTGACCGCACGCGTCCGGTGGCTCATGACCGGACCCAAGCCTGCGTCAGGTCAACCCAACCTCTCTCTGTTGCTTGTGTTAGCGTACGTCACTAGGTGACCGAACGCACCCCCTGCGTGTCCGGTCCCTCTTTCTCTTTAGCGTCCGGTCAAGGGACCGAGTGCGGCCTTCACTACACGCCACTGACCGGACGCGGGGTCAGAGTCCTGTCAATACGAAACTTCTCCTTTTGACCCCGAACTTCACCACCCTTGATCAAATGTGCCAACCACCAAGTGTATCACCTTGTGCACATGTGTTAGCATATTTTCACAAATGTTTTCAAGGGTGTTAGCACTCCACTAGATCCTAAATGCATATGCAATGAGTTAGATCATCTAGTGGTGCTTTGATAACCGTATTTCGATACGAGTTTTACCCCTCTTAATAGTACGACTATCGATCCTAAATGTGATCACACTCGCTAAGTGTCTCGATCACTTTAAACCGAAAAGCTCCTATCAATTTCACCTTTACCTTAAGCTTTTTGTTTTTCTCTTTCTTCTTTTCCAAGTTCAAGCACTTGATCATCACCATGGCATCACCATCATCATGTCACGATCTTCATTTGCTTCACCACTTGTAGTGCTACCTATCTCATAATCACTTTGATAAACTAGGTTAGCACTTAGGGTTTCATCAATTCACCAAAACCAAACTAGAGCTTTCAACAACTACCGACGGATATGTATTCAGCTTCTGTGGTTGATAATGCAATACTATTTTGCTTCTTTGATGACCATAAAACAAGTGATCTTCCCAACAATTGACAAGTGCCCGATGTGCTTTTCCTTTTAACCTTGCATCCCGCATAATCGGAGTCCGAATATCCAACTAACTCAGACTTTGCTCCTTTGGGATACCACAAACCAATATTTTGTGTATGCTTCAAGTACCTTAATATTCTTTTTGTAGCCTTCAAATGACTTTCTCTTGGTGAGGCTTGGAATTTTGCACATATGCACACACTAAACATGGCATCCGGCCTTGATGCGGTCACAAAGAGTAGGCTTCTAATCATAGACCGATACAACTTTTGATCCACCATGTTGCCACTTGCATCACTATCTAAATTGCCATTTATTCCCATTGGTATACTAATGGCCTTTGCTTCATTCATGCCAAACTTCTTGAGCATGTCTTTGATGTACTTGTCTTGACTCACAAATGTACCATTCTTCAATTGCTTAATTTGAAGTCCAAGGAAGTAACTCAACTCTCCAATCATGGACATCTCAAATTCATTAGCCATTATCTTCCCAAACTCTTCACAAAAGTATTGATTGGTTGATCTAAATATGATGTCATCAACACAGATTTGCAACATAAACAAGTCATTTCCAATCTTCTTAGTGAAAAGTGTAGTGTCAACCTTTCCCATTTTGAATCTCTTAGAGAGGAGAAAGTCTCTCAACCTCTTATACCATGCTCTAGGTGCTTACTTCAAACCATACAATGTCTTTCTTAGCTTGTACACATGGTTGGGCTTCTTATCATCTTTAAAACCGGGTGGTTACTCAATATAAACCAACTCATTGATGTAGCCGGCAAGCTAGCTCTTACTGTGGCACGTCCTCGGTCATCGCTGAACCGATATGCATGAAACATATGTAAGCATGATTTAACACATCTATAGATAAAAGCACAACCTAACAAGATTCATAACATTTATGGATAGACCATATTTTTATGAAGCTAACAAAACTGGTTTGGCATTTTTCTGATTTTTCTATGATTTTTGGTGAATTTTGCAAGATATTTGTTTTTTATAGAAAAAGAGAAAAAGAAAAGAAAAGGAAAAGACTTGCATGGGCTTGGTCTAGCCCATAATGAAGCCGGCCCAACTGCAAGGATTCAGCCCAGGTTGAGAAAAAAGCCCACCAGGAGAGACCCACTCGGATCTGGACATTTTGCATCAGGAACATCGATCTATTTTAAAAACCATTAAGGCCCTCCCACCTTTTCTTTCTCTCTAGCATTTTTACATCTGGAACCCCGTATTTCATTCTATTCTCTTCCCCACTCCTAATCTCGGCATTTTTACCGTAACCGTGAAAGGACGCCAGAGTGCGAGACCGAGCCAGTCTCGGGAAGGCAGAAAAAAAGACCGAGCCGGTGGCAGAAAAAAAATACGGCGGAAATTTTGTCTTTTTATTATTACTAGCAAATATGCCCGTACGTTGCAACGGGAGAAAAAAACTATTAAACATTCATGCAAAATGATAACGTGAATGGTACATATCTACTTATGTTTTATGCTTTTATAATTTATTTTGTGATGATCATCACATCCATAACATAAGTTAATGCTGACAATAAATAACAATGTCATATTAAAACTGTATCGAATTAAAATACACCTTGGTATATTTTTTTCATTCCATTGCAAAGTGCATAATTATTTAGATATAAATATATCAGAACTTTCATTCCCCATACTACTCATGTGTTTCTATGACGCAATATAGACCTTTGTAGCTTTTTTGACGCATCATATCAACCTCCTTAACTTTTTTGTTGATGTGTAAAGGATTGGTTTGTCCGTCAATAAATATGATGGAAGACCTCTCTTGATTTTTCACATGGCAGCCCTCGTCGGGAATTACATAAATACATTTGTTTAGATTTCATTAGATAATAATCTACACAAGATTCCGGTTCACAAAATAATTAGTTGTAACATTGACTAATCCATATTTTAATAAAAATAAGTTTTGTTTCTAATCAGAACTACATCGATGGTGTACATATTTCTCCTCAAAACTTAATGCGCAAACAAACTTAATAATTGCTAAAAAGTAGGGGTTATACACTGGGGCTTACCTTAGGTTGGAACCGGACATCGAAAAGTTAGTGAAGGTTTCGGGAACACCAGCGACGAGGACATCCTCCTCGTACTCCTCGGCTACCTCCGCGTATTCCGGGTCTGCCTCTCACACGTTTTCGATCATCGCTAAACCTATATATAATTGCTAAAAAGTAAGGGTTATGCACTGGGGCTTGTCTTAGGTAGGAACCGGACATCGAAAAGTCAGTGAAAGCTTCGGGAACACCGACGACGAGGACATCCTCCTCGTACTCCTCGGCCACCTTCGCCTATTCTAGGTCTTCTTGTGGCATGTCCTCAGTCATCGCCGAACATATATGCATGAAACATATGTAAGGATGATTTAACATATCTATAGATAAAAGCACAACCTAATAAGATTCATAACATTTATGGATAGACCATATTTTTATGAAGTTAACAAAACTGGTTTGACATTTTTCTATGATTTTTGGTGAATTTTGCAAGATATTTGTTTTTTTATAGAAAAAGAGAAAAACGAAAGAAAAGAAAAAGACTTGCATGGGCTTGGTACAGCCCACGACGAAGCCGGCCCAACTGTAAGGATTCAGCCTAGGTTGAGAAAAAAAGACCACCAGGAGAGACTCATTCGGATCTGGACATTTTGCATCAGGAACCCCGATCTATTTCAAAAACTATTAAGGCCCTCCCACCTTTTCTTTTTCTCTAGCATCTTTACATCTGGAACCCCGTATTTTTTTCTATTCTCTTCCCCACTCCTGCAATTTTACCGTAACCGTGAAGGACGCCAGAGTGCGAGACCGAGCTGGACTTGGGGAGGCAGAAAAAAAAGACCTGGCAGAAAAAAAAAATACGACGGAAATTTTGTCCCTTTATTATTAGATATAGATATAGAGGTATAGCTATACAGCAAGATCTAAGACGGCACAGATGGCCTCTGTGCAATGGGTGCGCTGTTTGCCTGCAACTCTCAAGCACCGCCTCCCCATTAAGTATGTGAGATTTCTGCGCTGTGTCCAGATTAATGGTCTACTTGTCCAAGGCTCCTCACTTCTGAAGTGCTGATGCCCATTTATAAATCAATGAACAATCTTTTTGCTTCCACATGTTTCGTTCTTCATGTCAAACGGTTAGCTGACCCGGCGGCACTTCTCAGGTCCTGAGTTCGACTCCCCGTAGGAGCGAATTTCAGGTTAAGATTAAAAAAATCCCCTCGCTCGTCCCCATAACCAAAGCATTGGGGGCACCGGCCCAATTCTCACTTAGGCGACAGAAAGCCACCGTGTAAGGGTGGTTCGGGGGTTTTCTCGGCCGGGTGAGAAGGTCCTTCTTCTTATTTGAAATGCTGCGGAAGCAGTCTTAACCCCCCGTCGAGTTTTTTTTTTTGATGTAGACTTTTTCCATTCAGTATTGGCAGTAGGAAACCATTCAGTAGCGAGGGCCAAAATCCATGAGTAACATATATTACACAAAAGACACTCATCTAGAGTTTTGGCACCAAGATGAACAAGTACGTTTTGATGATTTTCTCGCTGCTCGAGTGGTTCCTCTATAAATCGAAGGCATATTTATTGCTGAAACCTCCCAGTAATCTTCCAGGCTCCATATGATCCTCATTTTCTTGGGTCATACTTAGTTGCACCAGAGCCATACTTCTTGGCAAGATGAGGCCAAAATATTAAGTTATTTACTGAAATATCAACAAAGTAGTAGTTACATTTCTGTACAGATTATAAATCTAAATATGAGTGCAGATTGCAATATCAAAAAGCTTGTATTTAAAATTCTGAAAAACACTAAAAAATCTAAAGATGAGAAAAGATCCATAAGAAAAAATAATCCGCAAGGTATATTCCATCTGATAATTCATTCAATACACGCAAACATAATTTGAACTACAAACTGGAAGGGACGTGGCATACTCAAAAAAGTACTATGTTAACTTCATCCCATAACAATAAACTAGTACACTTCATGTATGGACTCCTTTAGAAAACCATACTGTACACAGTAAGAGTTTGAATAGGAAAGTAAGGATGAACATTGCAAATACCTATTGGTAGATAAGAAAAGAGATGGGATAAAATGTTTGGATCTAATTCATTGATAAGCTTTGCAAATAGTTGCTTTTTTAGATACTAGTTCTTTCTTAGATTTTAAATTGATGATTCGTAGTCTGTATTTGTTTTTAAATTATTAATTGGTTAAGAATGTGGAGATTACCTGCTTCGGAATCAGTGGAGTCAAAAATATGGATGTTAGGAACATGCTGAACAATGTGACTGTCACTTCCTTGCAGGCTTTCAACCAACTCCTTTGGCATATCAGTCAGAAACATCTGACGGAGTGTTCTAATATACTTGATACCCTTAGGTACTACCCTCATATTCCTTAAACCAACAAGTTCCAGATGATGTAGACCCATCATTGTTCCATCCTCTATCTCAATTTGAGCCAGATGTTCCATATCAGCAATTTGCAGAGATTTGAGATTGGGGAACCATCCTGCACAGAAAGATAAATGTTCCCCATAATATGCCCCGAACAGACACAGATCAACTAGAGTTAACATGTAAGAGAAGGAGCTTATAGGGTCCTTATTCAGACCAGACCAGTCCATTTTTAACTGTGTTAGCTTCTCAAACTTATTGAATATCGGTGGGAGCATGCCTCCCTCCATCTTTCCTGCCAGCCAGAAGAACTTAAGGTTAGGTAAGGGCCTCAGCATTCTCAAGTCAAGAATCTCATCCATATCAGACACAGAAATAGTCAGGACGCTCAAGTTAGGCATTTTTGTCAGGGAGGTCCATAGCTCTGCAATGTAGCTTTGCCGCACATTCTTTATAGTCAAGCTTCTCATAAGAGTCAACTTTCCCAGCTGTGAAACCAGATCTTTATTAGCTGAAACGGTATGTAAAGATTGAAGATTCTTTAGGCCACAAATATTGCCAGGAATTTTTGTAGCACTGAAGCAATTCAGTGATCTTTCTTGAAGATCATGAACTACAGCAACATGTAAATGACGTAAATTAGTTAGCATAGTTATTTCCAATGGCAACTCCTCCACATAGCTGAACCTGAGATCTAAAACTTGAAGGTGCACGAGTTTTCTGAATGATGCCGGTATCTGCTTGACTTTTGTGTACGACATATCCAGATAACGCAAGTTATACAGTTCTGTGACCACGCACGGCACTTGTTCAATATTGGTAAATCTTAGGCCTAAGACCCTCAGCAGTCTGAAACGTGATGAGACATCATATATCCAGGAAGACGGTACAAGATTGTCAAACAAAATGAATGATCGGAGATGTGAATTTGCTAAATAGTTTTGGGAATCTGCACTTTTTTGGATGCACAAGCGGCGTGCATCATGAGAAACTTGGGTTGTACCAACATGGCCGTGTATAACCGCGAACTTTTCCTTTTCAGCAGTTATTGAGGTTACTTCCCGCACAAGATCATGCATAACAAATGTTCTTGGCCTTCCGCTTGCATTCCTTTCTATGACCTGAAGAAGAGAACGGTGAGTTAGCTCTGCAAGGTAATGCTCAGCAACTTCCTCCATTGTTGTCCCATCCCCTCTCTCTTCCACAAAACCTTCCGCAATCCATAACTTGGCTATCTGTTTTCTTTTAATCCAGTGATCTTCAGGAAATAGGCTGCAGTATAGAAAGCAGCTCCTCAGATGACTTGGGAGATCATCCAAGCTTAGATTCAAGACAGTAGAGATCCAGCTTAGCTCTGAATTGTTAGCTAACTGCCAATTAAGTTGGTTGTAGAAAAATGCCCACTCCCATTCATCTAATGCATGGTATGATAGAATACTTCCGATGGCTATGATAGCCAATGGCAATCCTTGACACTTATCAACAATTTTCTTCGCCAAAGATGTGAGGTTCTTAGGACATATGCTGCCCTCCAATGCAAAAAACGCCTTTTTGCAGAAAAGTTCCCATGATTCAGCATAGTTGAGAGTTTTAAGTTCAATTACACGATTGTGAAGTGCCAAAGAAGACACATCTTTTCTCCGGGTTGTTATAAGCACTTTACTTCCACAATTGTTTTTGACAAATGCATAGTTCAGAACTAACCAAGCATCTTTCTCCCATACATCATCCAAGACAATGAAATATTTTTTGTCACGCAAATAGCTCTGCATTATCTCAACTAATCTCATGCGACTCATGGTCATGAAGCCACTTGCCAAACTTGCTCTCTGCTCTGTTAACTGATTCATGATTTCTCTCAGAAGCTCTTCAACTTGGTAAGTCTGAGATACAGTAACCCATGCATGACAATCAAAAGTTCTGCTGATCTTTTGGTTCTTGTAGACACTGCTTGCAACAGTAGTTTTACCTAGACCTCCCATACCAAAGATCGCTATTAGAGTTCGGTCTTGTTTCTCCTCAAGTAGCCATTGTGTCAGTCTCCCAATTTCCTCGGCATGCCCTACTATTTCAGAGTCATCAGTTAGGTAAGCAGAATCTGACACAGAGAATTGATTGGATTGCTGCAACTTGCTACTCCTGTCTTGCTCCCCTACCGAAATGCCATACCGATTCCTCATTTCAGATAGCCTCTGAATCCGAGCTTCTACTTGACTGATCCGGACTAGTAGCTTCTGCCATGCTGCAAAGTTCTTCACCTGATGGAACTTTCTCTTGAAGAAGCTGCTTGTATCCACGGCTTGCGTGGTAAGGTAAGCATACTCATCAATGATATCTTCCACCTCATGGGCAACATCTCTAACTTGGTCCAGCCATGCGTGAAATGCCTTGTCACCGGCTTTCTGCACTCGGACCTGCCCAATAAAGGCCTGCAGGATCAAGAGCTCACCCTCGATCTGTCTCATGCCATGCTCAAAATCTGTCAAGATCGGCGCTGCCTCGACGACATCCGTGCCAATCTTCACCAGTGCACCTTCTCCCAGGGAAAGAGCAACTTTTCTGAGAACAACAAACAGCGCATCTGCCATATCTCGTAACTGCTGTATGCTATATTTCTGAGCAAGATCAAGAGACAGCCCTGCAACAGTCTGAATCCATAAACAGAAGATTAGTCGAAACATCACATAGATTTTGCTCGAAACAGAAGTAAGACCAGGTAACATGAAATGGTTGTGAGATGGTAACTAACATTTGCCTTCTCCTTACTGCTGTATGGTATATTTCTGAGTAAGATCAAGAGACAGCCCTGAAACAGATTGAAACCCATAAACATCAGATTAGTTGAAACATCACAAGGATTTTGCTCGAAACGGAAGTAAGATCAGGCAACATGAAATGGTTGTGAGATGGTAACAACTAACAAGAAAACAGCCGCCACGCTGTCCCGCTAGCAAGAAGAGATTTCGGGCTTCAGTGTGTAAGGGAAAGAACGAGGTTCAATAGCTGAGACCAACATCCCATCCGAATTCATCAGGAAAACAACAAGAACGGTCATGGGTCAACTGCCCCGGATTTGGCGTTGCCCGATGCCCATAAGGTGTTCGACGAATTGCTCACATGACAGACGGCAGCGTGCAAGAAAGCATAAACTCCTGCTGCTCCTATGGGTTGATAACACTAACCGCAAGCGCAAGAGAGGAAAGGGGTAATCTATCTATCTGCCTCCATGGTTGGTAGCATAGCTCGCGCGGGTGGGTTGGAGGAACAAGGAAGGAAAGCGTGCGCGCTTACCTCGCCAGCAGTCTGCAGAGGACCAAGGGAGGAGAAGCCGGCAGAAAATGAGACCAAGGCAGTAGGTAAGAAGGCCGTCTTTCCCATAAAATCATAGCATCACAAATCATGCACGTCCATGGGTGCAACACACTTTGGCTACAGTATCAGTCGCTGCGTCCAGATGGAACCGCACTCAACGAGATGTGCTCACGTCATAAGGTGCGATCAGCATATAGATATAGGTTAGAAAACTTCGGTAAAGGTTAGAAAACTTTGGTAATGAATGGAGATGGGTCACAAAAATCGGTAACAAAATACGAGTTGACAAGAGCTTGGCCATATCGATGGTAAACTGTTCATCGCCCAATACCAAGTCTTCGTCTTGACAAGTCAAGGGTTGCAGCAAATGTTCAAGGGAAATTGCAAAGTTTAAGTCTTCGTTCTGACAAGTCACGGGTTGCAGCAAATGTTGAAGGGAAATTGCAAAGTGAAACAAGGTTGTGAAGTACCTATCGCTCACTGCAACCACCCCACCCAGGTTCCAAACAGAGGCCTATATTTATTCAGCTCGAATCAGCAATAAAAAAAATGTTTGTAAATGAATATTACAGCATTGTGTCAAAAAAAAAAGTTGGCCAACAACTGTAGTAACAGCAGTGCATTCACGGAGTATATGGTTCGACAGACGCAAGAGCAAATATTGAAGTTCCGGCCATTCAAGTTACAACAAAATCTAACAGACTACAGGTGACCCAAAAATTGGACCTTCCATCTCTGCCTTCATAAAGAGAACGCAACCCGATTCTCCAATGGGAGTACGGGGGAAACTTTACGACCCTATAAGCTTCTGTAGTCAAGGACAGTAACTTCCTCATCAGGGGCATCGAGGTCGTTATAACTGCAACCAAAGTCAGGTATGAGTCGCATGCCATTACTAAAAATCTCACTAAAAAGTACAGTGCCACTTTTTAAGTTCGACCCAAAAGAATAGTTAGCCTTCACAGCAACAAAATAACGAGATGAACATCAGAGCAAGCAAACAAGAGGAAAAGGAGATTCTGGAATTGGGGGTAAACCTTCTCAGACGGCGAGGATCATGGCGGAAATTTGGAGGCATAGCTATAATCGGTGCTGGGCCACCCATCATTGGTCCGGGCATTCCTGTGTTGCCATGTGGTGGGCCATTTGGTTCAAACGGAGGAGGTGGCCCTTGCTCTCTCAGCATATGCATGGCTATCTCTGGAGGTGCAGGAACAAATGGTCCCAAGGGACTGAAAACAATAGTGATCACAGTAGTTAGCACTTAGCAGTCCATAATTGCAATCAGAATATACTGAAATGCATGCCTTTTCACTTACCCAGCACCAGGTACTGGCATCAATATCGGTGGAGGGGGGAACTCAGCAACAAAAGGACCATTAGAGGGCCGTCCACGGAAACCATCAAACATCTGATCATCAGGCCCATCACGGCTTGGAGAGTGATCACCTCTACCATATCTGCCTCCATCTCTCTCAGCTTTATCATGTTCTCTGTTACTGCCACGGTCAAATTTCAGACGATTGTCCATGCTAGGTCTCCGTCTTCCTCTGTCCTGCAAATAAGAAGTTGGATCATGTATTAAAGATATCGCCCCAGTTCAAGACTTCAATAAGCATCAAATTTGGCAGCAGTCTCCTGTATTTGATACATTTTGTTAGCAGCATACCTACTAAACATACAAAATTATCATGATCCAAATTTGAATTCCCCTGCGTTTTTAACAGAAGATCCCAAAAGCCAGAGACTGTTGACAGAACTCATTAATTGACTAATCCGCTAATGTTATTTTGTGAGTTATATTAATTCCACCAAGGCTGCTAAAGGCTAAGCAAATCCTTTACTCCGTCACCCAAGCAAGCAGTCAGCCATTCATTCAAAATCCCCAACATGCAGACACATCAGCTACATCCCTAAGGACATAATGCTTCGCCCTCAAAAGTTGGCAATGTTATGGCACTGGAGCTCTGGTCCAATGGGTCAGTATAACAAAAGGGCACAAACAGTACAATGTTCATCACCAAAAGAAAGAAAAAAGTTCTAACATAGATTAAGTTGCATGAAAGCAAAATGGCCCATAAAATGATTTTAGGTGAAGCAGAAAAATAGATTTACAGAATTTCCCCAGAGATGAAGTGTGTTAACAATTACACAAACAACCTACTCTAATTGAAGTCTTAATCATTATAAACAGACACATGTGATATGTCAGAATAACACTATACTTTGTAGATTAGAAATTTTATTAAAGCAAGAACATGGAGTGTGTTGTTCTTACTGGTGCAGACTGTTGCATCACTGGGGTTCCACCTGGTGCATTAGGATCACTGTTTAAAAAATGAAAGGAATAGATAAGTATGATCTCCTAAACTTCAATGATACTGTTTTTTAGCTGTAAATAGAGCATCACATATACATACTTCATGTAGTTTTGGAAATAAAGATCCTCTCGAACTTTTGACGTTGACTCTAATACAAGGTCTGGATGCTTGAGCCTCAAATGCTTGTGAACAAACTCAGGAGCATGAAAAAGCTTTGTACAGCCCTTGGCTCCACAGCCATATTTCCATCCATACTTCTCATCCCTGATTTTCCTGACAAGAGGTTCTAAAACTTCAGCAGCTGCAGCATCAATTTTGTCCTTGGCGGTAAGTATGACCAGCGGGTCCTGACCATTCAGTCTTTCCTGACAGAAAGTATCCAGCTTCTTCTCCCAATCACCAGCACTGACATCAGATGTGCTAGAAGTCTTACTGTCTACTCTCACATGACGAAGGCCCTTGGCCTCATGTGACTCTGACGTGCCATAGTAATCAACACCATGAATACGCCATAAATAGGTAAGAATAGTGTCTAGGAGCTCAACGCCTTCCAGGCCTTTGACAGTCGTTAAACCTCTGATTATAATTATAGGCCCCATAGATCCAATGTGTGATTTGTCTACGTCTGACTTGTCATGATCACCACTTGACAGCACATTGCCCTCAATGCCCTTCTCAGCATCAAGCTTACGCACAAGAGCTAGAGTCTGCTCAATGTCAGCTTGGACTCGACGTGATTCAGAACTAACTGGATGAGCCTTGGGGGCACCAGAAAGAGAATCAGTTCCTTTTGCGGAATCTTTGACATGCTTTCTTCTCTTGTCACTGTCCATATCATCCTCAGAATTTCCATCACTACCACCCAGTTTACTTGCTGCACCCGCAGTTATTCCAGGGCCTCTGTTCAGCAGGATATCAAGATATAAACAGCTCATCCATAAAAAGGCATCATGACAAGCAATGTGAAAATAAACTCACAGGTCCAGAGTTCCATTCTGCAAATCAAGAAAGAAATCCTTTGCTATAACCTTACAACGTTCATTCCTCCTGCATAAACCGACAATAAATCGTTAAGATGAGCTGGAAAGATACCGTTCAATGGACACCTTTATACTAGAAAATATCATGTCCTAGATATTACAAGGCCAAAGTCCACACAGGAATATTCACACAGAATGCAACTCCACCTTTCGATAACAGATAACAAGTTAGTTGGGTGGTACTTGTCTTTCAACCTGCAAGTGTAAGCAAACAGAAAAGACAAATAAGTGAATGGACCACATGTAACTCCTGCATACCTAAAGGGCACAATTAGTGTCTGAAATAAAATCTCTTGGAACGTACCAATCTTCATTCTTGTGGAGATCAAAATAAGCGTGTTTCTGAGTAGTGATATACTCAGTTCTATATTCTTGGTACCTGGGTAACACGGCACAAAAGTTGTTAAGAAACACGATGGGGCACATGTATTATATTTCTCAACGTGCTCTTTTGTTATTGGTTTACCTGCGTTCAGCTTCACTTGGTGAAATATCATCCTCAAGAACTTGCATGAACTGTTTGTATGTCATCAAACCTTCCCTGGAAAGATTCATAACTAATAAGATCACAAAAGCATGTTGCCGTAAACTCAAAATATGTTATAATACTTCTGTTTGAAATGTTAGAATGGATAGCTCCAGAAACTTAAACAAATAGGAAGATTAGAAAAATGGCTGCTCATAAATATTGCATAAAATGTATGGATAAGAACATGGTATATGCAACAGTAATCTTCAGTAAGAATCATTGATTTGTTTCATTAGTATTAGCTCAGACATCTCATCAAATGAATACCTCGTGGACTCCCTGAGGGGTATGCAGTAAGCCTGTCCAAACCCAAGAGTATCAGAATAAGAAAGCTTTTATTTGTTCCAGTGTTATTCACATGTCAAGTTGGCATGCTTCCACTTGCACATGGAGTTCATGTGAGGTCTTCAAACCAAAGTGTTTTTATTAAAACTTTAAGTGAGAATTGCTTAGAGAGATAAGGATCCCAATCAAAATCTACTTGATTCTATAGGTTCCCAATTCCAACAGTGGACAATGGACACTAAGGTTTATTGCACACAGGCACGCAATGGTACTCTGTTATTTATTTATTTATTTATTCGAGTCGCAGTCTCCTCGCATTGCACAGGCGAGGGTAAGGCTTGCCACTGACACCCTTCCCCAGACCCCGCACAAAGCGGGAGCTCTCTGCACTGGGTACGCCTTTATTTTGGTAGTGGAAAAGCATTCTCCTTTATTTTTCATTTGATGTTACAGAATTTCAAAGAGACTAGTAAAATGGCATCATCTCATTTTGCATATGAGTCATTGGTCGTTAAAATTAAAGATGGGTGAAATAGGAGAAAAATGGAATTACATAGGTGGCAGGATAAAACAAATTTAATCAGGGGGTGTAACGATCTGCGCTTTTCCTTTAAGTTAGCTCAAGCATGAACATAAAACATTAAATGAGAAAGAGCAGACAAAGTATAAATCAACTCTCAACAGCATGCAAAATTGTCAGGCAGCCCATTTTTAAGAGAACCAGGACCTGTAATGTTCCATGCTATACTAGGGTTCATGTCCCTCTTCTAAAGAGGTGTCATCAATTATTAGGAGCTTCATTGCACTAATGGAGGAACCAATATTGTTCAGAAGTATAAGTTTCTGAAGTGTTTTAAGTTCTTAATCTATGGAGTTGCCAACATAATTGTATGTATAATGTGATACGCGGGGGGGGGGGGGGGATTACATTGTGAAGGAAAAACACTCGTGAGTTCCAAACAAAGCCTCTGCCATTTGGTTGTTAACGGATAGAGAATGTTCTCATCAGATTCTCCATTTGACTGCATCCAAAACATATCGTCCTCTACTTCGAGTATATAGCTGCATCTCAATATATACATATACTAGTAGTGGTATACTGGAGGAAGCTTTGTTGTAGTAGTACAAACTGTAAAGAGAGCAGAAGGCTTGCTGGTGGTGGGTAATAAGAGTAATTAGGTTGTAAAGTAGAGAGAAACTTTGTCTTGATAAACTATCCACATCTTTTGCTTCCAAACATCAAATATGGGGAATTTTCTGAGAAGATTCTCTATCCGTTAACAATGCATAGAGCATTTAACAGTATGAGGCTTGATTCGAATTCTTCACGAGCAGTGATGAGTTCTGATGATTCTTATACAGCGATAGCAACCAATACCCACAAAGACAAAATTTTGAAGTGGCTCATAATGAGGAGTCAAAAAAACAAGCAAATAAAATGACTGAGTCATTAGTTACATCATCAGTACCTTTGGGTGACCCCTGGACCATCACTGGACGCCCCATACCCCGAATCAGGCCAATCTGGGTATAAAAGTTGTATGTCAAGTGATAGTCATAAATCATAAAGCAAATAACAAGAAGTCATTCGTCACAAGTTATTTGTCACAAGCCATGAAAACTAAAGAGCAGCCATTTTATATAGAAGCAGAGAACATATAACTACTTAAGTTGAAAAGGTTCATGTGATCAACATTGTACTGTAATAAGGTCACACCAAGAAGAAACGAACTACTCCCTCCGGTCCGTTTTCTAAGGCACAAAGAGATGGATTCCAGATACCAGGGAGCAAATTAATCCAGCCCTTTGATGCCATGCCAAGGTGCCCGTATTAATTGGATTTGATTCCATACTATGCATGAGCAAACTGGTGCACATGTTAAATCACAGATGCTAGTTGCTTGGACTCCCGTGGACAGACGTCTTGGAATAACCCCAAGCGTTACATACCAGACTTTAGGAAAAACATGAGACGCCTTATAAAACGGGCTGGAGGGAGTAACATCTGGTACACGAAGATCTCCATCTTTTTCAATTTTAAATTTATACACATTTGTTAGACTAGGGGCTCTTGGTGGGTTTCAACTCTAGCCTACCCCAACTTGCTTGGGACTGACAGGCTATGTTGTTGTTGTTGTTGTATATTCACATTTGTTACACTAAATCTTCTATTACCAAGATTATTAATATATTCCTACAACTGAACTTTGCATGAGGAGAAGAGTCCTCACCTGGAGCGCGGTTCAGATATCTGCCATGGTTCCTGTCATCTTCATACCCACCTCTGCCACCACCTCGCTCATGGTCATAACCTCGCCTGAACAACCACACGGTAAGCACACATACCCACCTGCAAACACTTGCCGCACAAAGAAACTCCCCGACGGACGATTGAGCCAGAGCCCCTCACCTCCTATCATCGTACCCGTAACGCGGCGGGCTCCCGCGGCCCCCGCGGCGGTCGTACCCGTCGTCCCTCCGCGACCGCTTGAACGGCGGCGACGGGGACCTCCTGGGCGGCGAGTGGCGGCGGCTGCCCCGGTACGGCGGCGGGCTGGGGCTGCCCCCGCCCCGCCCGCCGCCGCCGCGGTGGTCCCGGTACCTCTGGGGCCGCGACGAGCCGAGCGGAGGCGGAGGCGGCGGCGGCGGGGAGCGGCTCCGCTTCCGGCTCGCCGCCGGGGGCCCGACGGGCGGAGGCGGGGGGAGCTGCGGCGAGCGGTCCTCCGGGCTGTCCGGGGGAGGTGGCGGCGGTCGGCGCGCGCGCGGCGCGTCGGAGGCGGGGTCTAGCACGTCGGCCATTCGCGCGGTGGGGCTAGGGTTTGGGGCCGAGTCCAGTCGAGCAGTTGGGGACGGAAAGCCGGGGGGAGTCGATACACGAGATAGATGGCAGGTCCGGCGCAGCCGCGCAGGCGCAGGTGACGGAAGCGTCTAGAAATCTGGTGTTAGGAACGATGGAGATTGACGGATGGACACGTGTACGGTTCTAAATCAATCTCTGTTTTAGGACAGCTTCCCTATCTTTCGTCCAAAACGAGCTCGTGCAATGGTCGCACGGAAATCTTGACGTGGAGAGGAGAGGGGGACGTAGATAAAAATGTCTCTTATAAAGCAGGTTGTTACTGTATATGACTCGTAGATATAAAATAGCGCTTCCTTTATTTCAAATTATTATAAGACATTTTATCTTTTTTAGATATACATAATAAAAGTAGTGTATAAAAATGCCAAAACATATTATGATTTTGAATAGGTGTATTGGAGTATTATTGTACTCCTTTGTCCTAAATACGGATTTATTACCCTACACAATAGTAACCAAGCGATCCCTATATTTTGATATGAAAATCTTCGTCGTTATGCTATTTTACGCAGACGGCCACAATACGCATGCACACTCTCTCCTATGAACACACGTAGGCAAACCTATCCCTATAAGCACCTCCGAAGGAGTGAGCCGGTGAATCTCGAGATTCACAAAGTCACCACAGGCGTCTCGCTGTCGATGGGGACGTCGCCTACCACTGAGGAAATTGCGAGCACACGTGTCAAGTCAAGGACTTAAACTCGGACGGCATGTTCCACCACAAGAAAATTAACCAACTGGTCTATGATCAGTTTGCATAGCTATGCTATTTTTATTGGACTTAATTGGGCTTGACTCAACCTTATGCAGTTCATTAAATCAAAAGAGAAAGTTAAGGCCTATAATAAATGTTAAGTGCAATAACTTTTATTAGTCTTGTATGGGAAATTAACTCATCTCTACGTGTTGCACGTGTTGTGAGACTGAGAAAAATGAAAGGTTAGCCACCAGCCCAAGGGGATGTTGAGCCGCCCCTTGCAAGTCATGACGCGACAAGCTCTGTCTCATATGACTAGGCCATGATATAAGTAGCATGACGTCGCTAGTGGTTTGTCGCTCCAAGTTGTAACCAGTGTCAATATTGAAAAAACGATGACATCTTACTTCTACTTGAATTGAGTTATGCAATAAAAGGGTTTCGGAGCAAGACATAAGAAATGGGATGGAAGCGTGGGTCTAAACTTGCCATTCATAATAACAGTAAAAAAAAGTCGAAGTAAGGGACAACTAGGTAAGAGAAAGAAGAGCAGAAAAGCAGTGGAAATGAGGGTGACATGAACCGAAGAAATTAATGTGCTTTAATATTATATATACGGATCAACTAAAAAAGGTAAGCATAACTTCACTAGGATTTAAGAATTTTGAAAGAAATCATAATGAATTGAACCCAAATCCTCGGAATCTATAAGAACAATTCATTTGCACATTAAAATACCTAGGAAAACACAACTATGCTAACAAATCACCCCCAAACATAGTCATAGTCATGCATCTTTGAACTGCCAGAAAGTAAGGGTGCGTTTGGTAAGGATCTAGATTATCTTCAAAATGTTTGATATCTGGATTCTATCAACAACACATTTCATGTGATGAATCAGAGTCATTTCATCGTTTGTCTAATAGGCTAGATATTATTTTATAATAAGGCATATAAAATTTTAAGTCATATAAATAAAAATATATTTTAAGAACATTTTTTAACCAAGAACAACTTAAAACTTAAATACAACTCATTTTAACTTATGACAATAAAAATTATTATGCAATTGAAAAATACAATTGTTAGTTTATATAAGTTTTGGCAAAGAAACGGAGATGATTTGTATGCGAAGCCAACCTTTTGCCGATTCGATCATCCCACGCGCACCGATTCTAGTTAACAAAAATGAGAACCATCCCAGGCTGATTCTAGTTGAAAAGGTTTCGGTGGTTTAGCTGTTTGGCACGGATTCTTGGTTTCAAGGCCAGAATCCAGAACGTTTCCGTGTGGCGAAAGCACCATAAGTACTGAATATTGATAGGCGTTGCTGCACGGTTAAAACATCTGAGATCTAAGTATAACTACATGCACGTAAGGAACGAACTTCATCGGTTCTTAAAAGTCACAGCTCAAGATAAGAAACAAATTCGCTATAGCCGCAACGGCAGCAAACATGATTACACGGGATAAAACACTGTCGCAGCTCTTAAAACCTACAGAACGCAAGGATAAAAGGATTCCATATCTAAGCAGGCTCCAACTCAAGTTATAGTACAACAGCTGACCGCCTACTGCAGAGATCATTGCAGGATGATGCTCGTGGCTTTACCCCAGCGCTGGATTAAACACCACTACTTGATGACTCGTGGCCATTGGCCATGGCTGCTGCAGCATTCTCTAGCTCAGAGCCAGGCGCAGACATGGCACTTCCATTCTGCTGGAAAAAGTAGACAGCATTTAAGTTTCAACCAGTTAATTGTTCAGAATACAAAGGCATACAGTTTATGAAAATAAACAAGGCAGACAGGAGACAGTAAAGGAAGCTGTGAGAGATATTGGAAGAGGATGATAAGATAAGTAAAGGAAGCTGTGAAAGAGAAATTGGAAGGAGATTATAAGATAACCCATCTTATACTGTCCCTAAAATACAATGAATTATGAAGAACCCTATCACTTTTCGCTAGTCTCAAGTGCAAGCAAAGAGAGAACAATTCAACAGAAGTAATGGAAAGAGAAGATTAACAATAACTCTTGTTTAGTGGAGCAATAAATATATTTTTTCAGATTTAAGTTTGAAGTCTAAGGGAGAAATGGATAGATGGAAAAGGCATGCACCTACTATACTTGACAATGCTGCATTGCTAGTCAAATAATTAGATAAGGAATCAACTAATCTGAGCCAAGGATTTTCACTTACAACTTATAGGATAAGTCTAAAGCAAACAGGATCCCCATGAAGCTTAGGTAAAAAACATATGCAAAGAACAGAGAAAAGAAAAACTTACACCAGCATCTAGAAGCGGAGCTGATTGCATAACTTGAAGAGGTACAGGAGATTTTGACAGGTCCCTCAGGAGGCCCTATAAAGACGTGAATGGACGATCAACCCTAGATTTACTTGCGGTTACATAATACTTCGTCTAAATTTACGTGAACAGACTAATAAAACAAACATAAGTTTCTTAGTTTTATAAAGGAGTAGATGGGATCAGAAACAATAAGGTTTCACGTTGCAAGGTATTTTCTCTAATGCAATTGTAATAAAAAACAGAAAAGATAAGTGGGAAAGATATGCATTTTATTACTAAAACAGAAGCAGACAGACAAAAAAGCGCAGCAGCACCAGAAGAGTGCATAAGTACAGATTACAGACTACAGTGGCGCAATATTAACAAAGATAGATACGTAGTGTTCTGTAAATTACAGGGTCAGCAAAACTTCAGTGTAGCATCGTGATTGTCGCGTAAGCACCCAAGGTAAAGGACCCAGCAAGATTTTTTTTTTTCAAATTCTTTTTGAAGAAATCTAATACTAAGACAGCGGTTACATGTTATGTTGGGTCCATTTTATAGTTTACGAAAACAGCAACTGCCTTGGCAAGCACGTTGGGGCAGGCTAAAAAGGGTACCAATAGCCTGGGTCATGGTTCTGGCACGTGAATTTCTTATTCACACGCGCCTCTTGGTCCATTACACAGTCTAAGCTATAAATAAATAAGTTTGAAGTTTCAATGATCACTAAAGTCTAGGATCGTAATTGTACTGCTAAGCAATCGCAAATACCTTATTTGCCCACATGAGGCCACAGGCATTGCATAGTGTTCTTGGTCCATCGGGTCCACGGCGCATCATTGGTGTAGCTGTTGCATTAGTACCACAATGATGACATCTGAAAGAATTGGATGTCAGAACAATTCAGAAATTATGTTTTTCACTACTATTTAAAAGGAACTCCAATCACATGCAACATGAAAACATAATATCCACAAAACAAGAACCTTTTGAAAGAAGCATGCGTCAATGCATGCTAGGTACCAACAAATGTTTATTTTTCTTTTAGCAAACTTGCTTGTAATGTTGCACGACAGTTTGAAGTTTGACTAACCAAATCATGCCTAAACCAGAAGGAAGCTAATCTTAAACCACATAGTCTGTGCAGTAAAGGCCTATCAAATCACCAGAACCAGCAAAGCGGAGAATCATGACTGATGTGCATGGTAATCTAGGAAGCAGAATAAAAAGGATTTCAACAGCTACTAACACTACATTTGATTGCTAAGATTGTAGGGGCATATCATGTGAGTAACAAATGAACATGCTATGTACGGCTAGATGGAAAGCATTAAGGTACTATCACACTATGGTGTCAACCAGCAAGATGTACAGTAACCACAGCATAGTTTATGGATTTTTTGTATTATATCTCAGATCTTATTTCTTTCTAGTAATTGTTCCAGAGAACAAACAAGGATTTAAAGTTCATGGCATCTACAATGAAATAACAAGAAAATCTGCAATAGCATCTTTTAATCATCTCAAAACATTGCTGCATAAGTCAAACACCTGTAAACCACAAGCAAACAGGAAACACTTCTGTAACTTACTCAGCAGCAGATGGAGGTCGGCCTTCAACTAATGCCCAATTCGGGGAGCCATCTACAGCTGCCATTTCTGATGCTGCTGCTATTTCATCAGGCTTTGGTTTTGAAGATGTAAACTGACCTCGATTGCGCTGCATCCTGCAAATACAATAACCTTCTATGAAGAGGACTATATAGCAAGATCCAATTGCAACATCCAACATACCACTTAATCTTATATATAAATCAAGAACACCACAGAAATATCCACAACCATTGAAACAGCATAAATGGACAAGGCTGCTACGCAACCAAAAACTACTCAATGGACTGATTAAGAAAAAATGAAAACTAGTTAATTAGCTGTGGCATACATGAAAACTGGTGAAACAAGAACATACAGCCACTCATGATTCGAAGCATTCCTAATGACTACCAAACAATATGCACTACCAAAAAAGAATACATAAAAAACAGGGCTGACAAAAGATCGATCTGTTCTAATCAGAATAACTTGGAAAATGCCACGGAGTTAGGACGTGCATCTTCCCACTAGGAACTACTTACATTTGAGCAAATGTGCACAAGAGATGTACTCAGTTTCAAGGGGAATAGGATGTCATAAAAAAGGACAAATACTTTGTTTCCAGTATCACAATTAAGTTTATTGAGTTCCGACAAAACAAAATTAATGGCACTTCAGATAGCAAGAATAGAATACCCAGCCAAAGTTTAACAGCTATCACCAACCTAAGCGCAACTTCCTTCCGGACTGTGTAACGGATCTTCTTATCAAAATTCCGCTCCTTCCGCTTTTCCCTAAATCTCATCAGTGATGCCACCCGATGTGGAAAATTCAACCTCTGAAAGGAGAAGAGCAAATACACGCATGTGAACCATCCATTCCATTTTGCAGTTACTACGGACATAACTCACAGGCATTATACATAAGATTCAACATCACTTATCCTAACCTTACTATAAGGTGCAGAGGACGATGCTCCGCCCAGGCTGCTCAGCTCCCTCCCTCCAAGCAGCAAAAGAACGGCTTGGACCTGCAGACAAAACCAACAACTCTCATTAGTCCAGCGAATTGCATTGACTACAGGCAGAGAAAACAAGTTCACATCTACAGAAAGCAAGCAGGTGAGGAGAGGGACCTTATCAGGGGAGACGGAGTCGAACACATAGACCTCGCCCTGGAACGAGAGGGTGAGCTGGTTGGTCGCCATGGGTAGCACGGTCCCAGGCACCATCGCCGAGTGCGGGTCCATCTGCGCGCCGGCGGCCGCCGCCGCCGCGGCAGCAGCATCCGCGTCCATGGGAACGTGCTCCCCACCGATGCCGCCGTGCTGCCCTTCCTGCTCGTCCTCCTCCTCCTCCATCTCGTCTTCCTCCTCGTCCTCCTCCTCGTCCTCCCCAACCTCCTGCTCATGCACCTGTGGTTCCGCGGCGAAGCGGTTCAACGCCTCTGCCTCGGCGGCGGCCGCCACGAGGTGCTCCACCGACGGGGCAACGGCGGCGGGAGGCGGGGCGGCGATCCCGTCCGCCGGCTGCGGGTGCCGCTCGGGCCCCCGGCGGGGCTGGTAGGGCTTGCTTCCGTCGTGGTGGGACATGGCGGTGAGGGATCGGATCGGACGATGGGGATGGGGGTGGAGGGTAACCCTAGCCCCTAGGATTGCGATCTGTTTTCGGTTTGGAGGGTGGAAATGGCTCCGCGAGACCGCGACCGAGAAAGACGATGCAGGAGGCGGCCGTGTGGGTCCGGGTTTTGTGGACAGATCGCAGCCGTCGGATCCACTAGTTTTGCTGTACAGTGTTCCTAGTAATAATAAATGAATTTTTGCACCATCCTAAGACCAAGTAAAAGGTTAAATACGTGTTTTTTTTTCTTATTTGCCACACGAGTGCTTTTCGCCAAACTTTGTAAACAAATAACAAAGGATCTGTCTATTTGGAACTATTGTGATTTCACCCCTCTTGTCACTCAAGTAATTTGAGGGAACAAATCACACAAATGGAAAAAAAAAACAAAATCTGAGTGATTGAGGCCCTATGATCACACGAGTAATTCTAAAGGTCAAATCACTCAAAACTAAATAGAACCGGAATCCGAGTGAAGCAGGAGTTGAAATCACACGAATTTTGCATTCCCTCAAAACCCCTTCATGCACGATAAAAAACAGCAAGAATTTGCTAAATTATAAATACAATAAACCTTGTAAATTAAATATTCAAAATAACAAGAACAAATGATAGAAAAGACTAAGAACCAAAAAAAATAATTGTTCTATGGATGAGTCAAAAACTTAATCAACTACTAAAATTTTTCATTTAGTATTACCTACATCAATAATACATAGCGATTACACCTGATTAAGCACCGTAAGTATAGTTCAATTCTAGTGTAAATGAAAAAAATTAATTCATACTCCATAAAAAAAGTAAATTTGCCAAGAAGAAAGCAAGATGACCAGGAACAAACACATAATCAAAAAATCAAAACTGCAAATGAAAAAACTTGAATGACATTTCAAAAAATAGAACAAAACATGAATTAATTTAGGGAAAATAACCTTCAAACAACCATTACACCTTGCCAATTAGTGAGATCCAAGTAGTCGGACATAAAACAAACAAAAAAACTATAAAAACAAAATTCTCAGGACATTGCAAGAACCAAGAAAATTAACAATCTACAAAAAACAAAAAATTTCTATGGAATGCAAAAACCAAAAACATTTCGAGGCCATTGGATAAACCAAACATATCAAATAAAATAAGCAAAATACAAAAAACAAAAATTTTCTATGGATTGCAAATACCAAAAACAATATGAGAGCATTGCATGAAACAAACAAAACAAAAAAAAATATACAAAGTACAAAAAGCAAAAAAATTCTATGGAATGCAAAAAACAAAATGATTTTGACGGCATTGGATCAAACAAACAAATCAAAATAAGTACAGTACAATGCAATAAAACTTTGAGACACACACGTGCCTAATAAACTTTTATAATTAGTATTACATACATTCATAATACTTATCAATTACACCTAAATAAGGACGGTAAGTATAGTTGAACTCTAGTATAAATGGAAAAATTAATTCATAGTCAATATAATAATACATAGTACTAGTACTAGGTAGGTAATTGATAGTCAGTTCACGAAAGCAGCAACCATCCCAATGACCAAAGGGTCTACCTACCAAACACCACGTACCCAGCGCATGTGTTCTCATTGAGCAAAATTTAAAATAAACTGGACACCGTATAGGACATCACGATGGGGGGCAAAATCAAATCGGATGGACCAGAATTTGTGTGATGAATGTAAACAAATTACTCAGGTAAAGGATAGCTTTTCTGAATTAGTAACTAAAATCAGATTCCAGGAGCGAAGAATTTGACCCAAATTTTAGTTCCTTTCATGAATGCTAATTAGGAAAAATAAATGGAAAGGAGATGAAAGCAAAAATTAGGAAACAGAAAGAACATTAGAATCCGAGCAATATAGTAAGACTAAATAATTTTCAAGTTTTGGAACTTGCATAGGTAGATGAACAAATAATCAAAGTTACAAAATCCAAAATTTTATTAGGAATTGCAAAATAACAAAATGTTTGTGCCTTCAATTAATCAAACATATCAAAATAGAAAAATTCAGATGACAAAAAAATTTAGAAAAAACAAAGAAACACATATTATTCTATGAATTGCAAATTAACAAAGATAGAGGGCCTTCAATTTCAAGTATTATACCAAAGCATATGCAAAAGAACAAATAATCAAAGTTACAAAATACAAAAGTTTATTATGGATTGCAAAATAACAAAATATTTGAGCCTTCAATTAACCAAACGTATCAAAATTGGAAAATTTCAAATAATAAATACAATTGAGAAAAAACACAAATCTTCACATTAATATTAAGTTACACTAATACTACCTAGAAATTATACCAAAATAATCACCATAACATAAACCCGAGTAAAGTGTAAATCTAGTATAAATTCATAGTAACTAAAATCATATTAGAGGACTCAAATCTTAGTTCCTTTCATGAATGCTAATTAGGAAAAAGAAATTGTAAGGTGATGAAATAAAAAAACTAGGTAACAAAAAGAAGATTTACAACCGAGCATGATATATGTAGTGAAACTAAATAAATTTTAAGAATTGGAACAATGCATATCGAGATCAACAAATAATCGAAGTTTAAAAAATTGTAAAAAAATATTTGAGCCTTCAATTTCAAACATATAAAAAACATAGGGAAATCTCAAGTTACAAAGGAAAAGGGTGAGAAATAACATCAAATAATAGTATTTGATGAATGCAAATTAACAATGTTAGAGGGCCTTGTATTAAAAATGAAACAAAATTAGCCATCTAAGTAAAAAACAAGAGTTATTGCCAAAATAAACAACATTAACAGACAGAAGAAAAAAAACATAATTAAAAAGTAACGCATGAACTAAAAAGCAAAAGGCAAAGTCCACAGTAACAATGAGTGAACTAGAAATAATAATTACTGTCCCCTGACAAAGCAAAACTGTTTTTGTGTTGGTGTACGTGTAGGCTAGAAGCATACGGCATCAGGTATACAAACTACAAAATGGAATGAAATGTCATTGAGATGGCGTGTAAATTTGTATGTCAGAGCATACTTCAAGGTGACACTGCCGTTCGAAAATAATGGCACTATGGCAGAAGATGAGAAGATCGACTGACACGTGGCGTGCTATGAATGGCACGGATGAAGTCGGTGGGCAAATCCAACGTACACAAATTCGTGTGACGAGGCAAAACAAATCACACACGCAAGCTTTAGCTTTTCTGATAACAAAAGATAACTTGGCTACGTGGAATTAATGTTCATAGATAGATTTATTATCAATAAAATACATTCCTAAAAAATAGTTTTACCTTGTATACCGTACCAATGTCATAAATGACATATTTGTGAAATAAAGAATACAAATTTATTCAAAATTTCATGTGTTTCTAGGTTCAAAAAAAATTCATTTACAATGGATCCTATAAAACCCTCAAAAGTACTAGGGTTTTTATCACAATAGATCCCTTGTTGCTTCGGCTTTTCACAATGGATCCCTTGTCGCTTGGGCTTTTCTTGCTACCTATCTACTCCCTCCGATTGTAAATAGTATACTATATGTATTTCGTCAGTTTCACTAAGATTATGTTTTGACTGACAATTATATCTCACTAGGACGGGAGGCGCGCTTCGCCGCGCCCGCATACTACAGAGTGAAGCACAGACCAATGACAGGTACATAGGCAGGTCGTGGCACAGTTTGCCAATCGCTTGAGTATAATATGAGAACAATAATTGGAGGCTCTCAAACGCCTCCAAATCCTGGGCTTGTACGCTTGTAAAGTTGTAGTTATACGCTTCTTTTTTCACACAGCTTGGCAATGATCATTTAAACAAAAATAGTATTTGTCTGAACATTGATTTGATGTGAACAAATAATGATTAAGTTGCATGTACAAATATATATAGGAAACAAGAAAGCATCTGCACCATCTGTCCAAACAGAAACTTTCATTTGCTTAGACTCTTGGACTCCAACCAAAGAAGTATAAAATCGGCAAGGAGTCTGACCCTTATCTGCGATAGCCTTGAAACTGACTACGGACCTTGAAGGATTCTGGAACCTATATCACAAACCATATGGTTACATGGGTCTGTCTAAATGGAATCAGTGGGGCGCTAATTACCTTTGATTGACATGTAAAATGCATAGTAAACTTCACATTGTACAATGCACAATGCAGAAAATGAGAGGCAATACAAATAATAGCTAGAAAAATGATACATAATTTTGCAATTTGAAAAGCAGTATTTTACACAAGATATATAGTAACAAACTATTTAGGTTCAGATCATCCTAGGTACCATAACTACCACAAAGAAAAAATAAATCTTTACAGTATGAAGTTTTACCTATTTTCATAAAGGCTTTGAGAAATCAAATATTCATAGTTTTACGAATATTGATCTCCATATAGACAACCTTACATAAATCAGCAAAGCTAGAAGAAACATGTCCCATGGATTATCACTGAATGTTTGTACTAAAGTGAACATGGCTCTGCAATATTCTTGGACAGGGTCGGTTGTGTCCATGCTTACGAAAGATGGAAATCAAAGCACATAGTAGTTAACTTACCTCCTGGTACTAAGGAATAGTTTCTGAAGCACAAGTGAAGCATTCAGGTAACACGCTCATTGTCTACATCTTAAAGGAGTATAGAACATAGTGCGTCTGTATTTCCTTAAAAAGTTGATAAACCCAATTTCTATCATCAACAGCAGAATCTAAACATGAATTTAAATCAACATAAATTGAATCTCTGATTTTTCATTCATCACTGAATGCAAAAGAAGGGGATAATGCCTAGAACCAGACTAGATTTAATGATGTTGAATACTGAATATCATAAAGAACATAGCATAAACAGCATTAAGTACAAATCTGATATAGTACAATTTATACCATGTCCCTAAAATCATAACTGAAAGGAACAAATGAGCAACCAAGGTCAGTGCATCTGTAAAGATAAGAGGAAAACGTGAACTCTTGG